ATCTAAGTAAGGGTTTTTTTTCTTCCCGATTTGTAAAAAAAAAATCCTTACGTGATAGAAAACAATGAATATTATTTTCGAAATCTGCGTAGCTGAATTATGGAAAATCTATTAATTAAAAAAACCAAAACAACTTTTATGAAGTTTAAATTCGCAGGCCTGTGTTATTTGATGTAAAATCTAGACCTTTTCTTCGATTAATCTTTTAAACGTAAACAAATCAAACAAGAGTAATATTGTTTCTGTGATTAATTTAAATGAAAATTGCACCACAAGGCATTTGATAACTGTTATCTATTATTTTGCATAATACTTCTCTTGTCCAGTAACTGGAGCAGAAGCTTAACAATAAATCAAAAGTTCAAGTTTAAGTAAAATTGCTGTTGTTTTTAAAAGTTGTATTTTACCAAAGTCGAATCAGAAGAATAATTATAAATCATTTGGAAAAGTGCCAGACTATACATAGTAAGAAAATATAAAGGATGAATAGAGAGTAAGAAGATCTAAATTGCAGCGTTTCAAATTTCTGATGTAAAATTTAAATGTAAGATGCTATATTTCACATTAATTTGCAGTGGATAACAAAGCCCATGTTTTTGTGGTATTTTGTTAAACGAGTGCATTACTAATATAGTAATAGCTAGTAGGTTCACTCTTCATCTCAGTTGGTATAAAACTCACCTGGCGTTCAAGATATCTTGATATTGGGTTCGATTCCCCCTTATGGATGTTGCAGAATTGTCACAGAAAAATTACTTCCAACCAGTAGTCTTTTCCCGACCCTAAGATAAGGCCCGAGGATGGACCCTGTCTGTGAGATGGAAACAAATGTGATTAAAAGTGTTAAAAAAGTATCTTACTAGGAATTACTTTAGCTCAGTTGGAGGAGTGCTCACTTTTTGGCAAGTAATTCCTGGTTGAAATCCGACTCGAGAAAGACGAAAATAATTGGAATATCACAGTGTGACCACTTCTAAACTGTAGGTTTCAACGTTTCACATCAGCTCTTCTAGATATGTTGCATTGTAATTTCATATTATAACATTCTATTCTGAAAAAAGATAATAAAATCAAAGTACTGTGCGTTTCTAAATATCCTTTCGTACCTTATGAACATGAATTTGAGCATGTCTCCAAAAATTACATCTGCTTCATTTGTGACATATTCGTTTTCCAAAAAACCGGAGAAAGTGGAGACATAACAGAGCACTATAGTAAAGTGTTTGTGTTATCTTTTTAAGTTGAATAAATAGTTACAAACAACCGTTTTTAATTTACATAATAAAAATGATTTTACTTGAGGCTCGTCTACAGTTTCAAATGCACTCTACATGTTTCAACGTTACTCAACGAGTCATCCTCAGGAGTGTAGATTACACAAACATTACACTGTCTATGTCTTGTATTCAGTCATGTGATACCTCAATTTACACGTTTCTTACAGAATATCACATCGTGTAGAGTTAATCTCTTATCCTTGTTTAATACATTATTTTTCTTAAATTCAGTTATTCCCAACGATTCACGAATATTTATGGTATTGTCATTTTCAGGTTGAGCTAATAACATAGTTTTCCCAGTGGATCATACATGTTCAGCTAATGGCGAAATATTTATTTTTATTCTTTGTGTTTTTATTATCTTAATTCATTCTATATTTTGAGTTCCTTTTAGTCTGACCTATGGATGTTCTCCCATATTCACAAATTATTTTGTAAATACCTGTTTTTTCCCATTATATTCACTTTATCCTCAGTTTTATA